GGTGTTTTAAATGTACTTAATTTCTTTTTTTCCGTTTTAACAAGCAGCAAAAGGACAGCTTGAGAAGGTAGTCAAGTTGTTCGCGAGCATATTTAAAAAAAAAAAACTGTTGTTGACCATTAAAGTTTTGTTTCCTCAGGAATATTTTTTAATCCTTTTATAACATTAAAGTTTTTCTTTTTCTTTCAGAGACTCTTTTAGCAGAATGAGCCTTCGCAAGCTAGACGTGTGAAGATTGAAGAAATAAAAAGAACAAATGCAATTTTATTTATTTGTATATATCAGTCCTCCTCACAATATCAGTGTTTCTGCCATAAAGTAAAAAGAGATTAAGTGTTAAGACGTTTGGTACATCATTCCAATTTTGTATTAGTTTACAAAATGGCCTGTTACATGATCATAAGAACTGATGATGAATTTAGCATACAATGTGTCAAACCTGTATTCAATTACTGAGGTCTTTTTTTTTTTTTTTTTTTTACTTCAAGCCGGAGTGCAGTATAATGTGGTTATCTGAGAAGGACATGATGTAAATCATCTGTTCAACAACTGCCGAAAGATCCAGACTATACACTTCCTATATAAACAAAAGGAAATTACTGATAGGGAGAAATTTCCCGTCAGGTCCTTTCCATGTTCTCACCGCAACCGCAATGCGCAGCATGCATTTAGCTCCCGCGGAAGCTAAACACGCTCCACCCAACCGCTAGATTACCTCTGAACTTAAAATGAAATAATTCAAATCAAAAACAAAAACTCTTTAATTATGTAATCCGTAAAGATGCAATTCTCTCTAAAGGCGCGTTAATGAGGAGATCGCGAGTCAGGATCCTCAACTTCATCTTTGCGACACTGACTCAGAAAACACTAGTTTATTAATAAATAATTCAAATATCTCCTTACTATTTCCACCAGATGCATTCATATACTTACTTTTGCGGGGGCTTGAACGTGGAATAGCCTAAATATTAAAGGCTCATTATGCTTTAGAATTTAAGTAATTAATTTCTGGTCGGGGGCAGCCCTAGTTTAAGGCCAGTCTATAGTTTTTCTATAGGCTAACTCTTCCAGCTGCGCTGAAGGCACGCTCGCTGCTGCTGCTGCTGGTGGGGACACTAAACACTGTCCGAGCCGGTCTTGACAGTCGTAGTAGCATGATCTCGTGTTGTTTCTACCAATGTGGCAAATCTTTTTCATCACCATAATTGATGGATGTCTAAAATAAAAAAATAAGGAGAAGCCTAAAACAGGCCCAATGCCCGGCCCGCGTCTGAGCTATCATGTGAAAATTGGCCAGAAGCCTGGCCCTATGGGTGTAAATAAGTTGGGCCCATCGGGCTCGGGCTGAAATGCAGGGCTCTAACACACACACACACACACACACAAGATTCTGCAGTTGAAATGATTTTGGAAAATTTTAATACACATGCTGTTTTGATAGCAACTTCTGCAACAACTCCATAACAAAAAAAACACAAGTTTGACAAAAACAGTTTTTAAAAATCGTAAATGTTACCTTTATATACAGTCAAACCAAAAATTATTCAGCCACCAGACATAATTTTTTATATTTCTTTACTAGTGGGTGAAGGACACTATAGTTCATTTATGTAGGCGTAAGTGAGGATAAAGTAAACTGTGATATATTATACCCCCAAAATTCTTACAGTGGACTACCAGTAAAATTGATAAACATTTGGGACCAAAAATTATTCAGACACTTTGACCCGACCATGTTTTGCTTAAGTGTTTTCTGACATTATCAAGATGAATTTGTTCTGACAAGTATATATATATATATATATATATAAGGTAACAAATAATATTTATAAAATATAAGAATAAGATTTATAACATATAAGAATATATATAAGATTTTAAGATTTTAAGTGTTTTCTATATATAGCCTTTAAGTGCCGTCTGGATTTGTTTTGTAAGATGAGCATTTCTATCAGGCTCCTATATTTATGTGCAGTTACTTTACTTTAATGGCAATGAAAAGGACATATTTATTGCCATTAAAGTGAAAATACTGAATTGAAACATAGGAGCCTGAAAAAATTTACATTTTTATTTTTATAAAAATTGTATCAGAAGGCTTATGCATCTGAAGTCTTCATATATATATGAAGATGCATAAGCCTTCTGATACAAGTGGCTTCTGAATTTTTCTTGTAAAATTAGAATTCAGACGGCACTTAAAGGCTTTTGCATTTTAAGTCTCATATATATACAGTGGGTACGGAAAGTATTCAGACCCCCTTAAATTTTTCACTCTTTGTTATATTGCAGCCATTTGCTAAAATCATTTAAGTTAATTTTTTTTCCTCATTAATGTACACACAGCACCCCATATTGACAGAAAAACACAGAATTGTTGACATCTTTGCAGATTTATTAAATCTGTACACTCTGTATATATATATATATATATATATATTAGGGCTGTCAAAATTAACGCGTTAATAATGCATTAACGCAAATTCATTTTAACTGCACTCATTTTATTAACGAGCGATCAGTGCAGCACACATTTTCTGTTTCAGGGTTTCCGCGGGTCCTTAAAAAGTCTGAAAAGGTCTTAAATTTAGTTGTATCATATTAAAGGCCATAAAAAATCTTAAATGAAGAAAGTCTTAATTATGATTTCAAGAGGTCTTAAATTTGGGGAGGGAAAGACAAGAATTGCGATATGGCTTAATGTGACGATTAAACTTCAAAAGGCAATGATTTCATTGAATAAATATGAGCGCTGCAGTTTCAAAGTCATCTGCTGCGCTGTTTTGTTTACAGTCTGAGAAACCGCTATTTCTGCCGTTCCGACAGCGCCATCTGCTGGCTGAGAATGAATTTGCATTTTCAATAAGCCCATCTGCTGTTTTTGTTCAACGACAGAAGACGACAGAAAATTAAAGACAACAGAATTAGATGACATTAATGACAACATAAGGACGACAGTAGAGATAAGATAAAGCACGACAGAATTAGATGACAGAACAACACGATAATCAGGATGACAGCAAAAACGACGGCAGGAAGACAGATTAAGATGACGTCAACAGACAACATGCACGTCAACATTTACTGATTTACCTAAACAAGTACGCAATTACTGTAGACAAAGACAAATGTATAGTACAAAGCACAACTCTGCAGTCAACTCATTTTTGGCACAATTGGAACCCCATACATTTCTGCATTGATAAAGCAGATCAACATGTCTTTTATTAATAACAGGCAAATGTCTGCATTAAACATGTTTAAACAACTGTTCTTTCTGTAACTGCTAACTTAAGGAATTGAAGCATTATTGAAAAGTATGAAACTCAACCAACGTGAAAAAGACAATTTGTAACACCATTGTTGCACTTCAGATGCTAAATGTTTACTTCTGTGAGTGTATAAATGAAACTGTCATTGTTAATTTTCTGTTTAAAACATGCTTTTGTGTCATTTATACTCTCACAGACATCAACATTCGGCATATGAAACACAACAATGGTGACATGCTTCATGCCAGCATGCAAAACACATTCATGTTTCCCAGCATGCATTGCGGCATGAATAAATTATGTAGCTGAATTATTTTTTAGATTTTTTGGATTGAGGTTTGTATGATGAGTGCTGATGTCTAAGAGTGTTGTATTTAACTTTTGAATAGTTTTGGACACTCTTACACAAATAACTTCAGTGTTATAATGGTCTTTATCACATCATTTTAGTGTATTACTCTCTTCTCAAATAATGTTTCAATTCCAAAAATAAGTAAAACTACAGAAAAAGTAGTTTTTTAACCACTTTAATGTAGTCACTTGTCTATTTTTAAAAAGACATGCTGATCTGCTTTATCAATGCAGAAATGTTTTCCATAAACACCTACAATTGCTGATAAAGAATAAACGTAACAAAAGTGAAGGGTCAAGAGCCCAACTAAAGCAAACACTTATCCCCATGATGGTGAACGCAAACTAATTTTTTTGTAATAAAACATCAACATCTAAATCTTAAAATGTTGAATTTTAAATCAAAATTAAGTTGAAAGAACGTTTGAGGTACATCATACCTTTTAAAAAACGTTCCTATAACATCAAGAAAACGGGACATTTTTTTATGTTCCCAGAACCAACACTGAACATTTAGAGAACGTTCTTATTTCAAAATTCTGTTAGCTGGGTATGCGACAGAGCGGTCCATTAAAGACGCAATTGTATGATTTGATAGTATGCCCCAAAGCTTGCCTACTCTTCTACTACACACTCAAAAGTGTGTACTTTTCTTCACCAAAAGAGTACATACTTTAAGGGCGTAGTATAAGTAGGCACATTGGGACGCAATGCCAGAGACCACATACTCACACAAGGGTAAGACCAGGGGCCTCATTTATAACCGTTGCGTATGCACAAAACCAGCCCTGAAAGAGGCATACGCCACTTCCTGCGCAAAAGGTGGGATTTATAAAAACAAACTTGATGGGAAAATGTGCGCACCTGCACGCACACTCTGACCCATGCGTACAAACTCTTTTTCCTGGAGTGAGAAAATTAATGAAGTAAAAACAATGATTTTAAGCTCTGTTTTCATGTCGATATATACATTTACATTAAATATTCCACACTCATATGGAGATAAGGACTGAAATTACATTAAGTCATTACACAGAACTTAAACCAAAATTATATGAATTTAGACATATTTGTAGTGGATGCGCTTGATCACTTTTCCTCTTTTATTGACAGCGAGGAGTGCTATAGGTGCACAATAATTCATCTTTAAACTGAACTGCAGATCTCATGTTATGAGAAAATATTTTTAGCGAGAACAATGATCAATGATGCGCACTTACTTCGATATTATGGCGGACACTGCTGGATTCGGTGGTCGAACGGTCCATTATCCAGTTTGAATAGGACCAATGATAATATCTTACTATACAACCGCAGCTGCGCTGAGGTGTTGATGTCGTGTGAAGTCATCACTACAACATTATAAAAAATACCACTGTATTTGAAGGCTACAACTTGAAGAAAATGGTAAGATTTATACGTTTCCTTTTTAAAAATCTTTGTTAGTGACGCGCCAAATCAGACAATTTTACACTGCAATAAATAGGTTCTTGATATATTTATTCTAAAACATAAGGATATTGGATGATTTTTAGAAATAAAAATTAATGTATGGCACAAATGGCATTTATAGACCGTATCTTATATTTTCTTAATGTCTTTTATCTTTGACGGTGTTAAACATGGTGTCACGTGGATGGGAATATGCATGGAAATGATATGCAGGGGTGCAGATGCACGTACGCACAATCTTCCCCTGACTGGGATATATAAAGGGATTTTTGCGCAGGTTCTGGCGTACGTATGGTTTTATAAATCTGAAAACTTTTGTGCGTACGCAAAATCTAGCTTTTGTGCATACGTACACTTTTAGGATGAAATCTACGGAGAGTTTT